TGCAGGTAAATTCTGGGTGCTCAGGCTCCTCTCTGTCTGCCCCAAAAAGTGATTTATTGCTGGCAGCTGATGGGACACAAACCCTCCCCAGGCCCTGCGTGGCACAGGCAGAGCATTAAAAACATAAATAGAAAATGAAGCATTTCTGGGTTTGAGGCAGATGAATGTGACCATCTGCTCCAGCAGCATCCCAAAGCCTCTGAAACAGCAGCCTCTGGTGTCAACATCCTGCTCCTTCCCTGCACTCCACCTTCCACCAGAAGCAGGGCTAAAAATACAGAAAAGCCACAGCCAGGGGCCCCGGGGCCTCCTCTGCTCTGTCATTCTCCATCTCAGCATAAATCACATTATTTGTGCTTGGAACACGCCCTGACAAGGGGCAGTGCTCTAAGCCAGACCAGATATTCCTGTCCAAAGCCAGGCCTTGCCACTTTGTCTCTGAATCCTCTCCCAAATTCTGTCACAGCACATCGCAGGCACAGCCACAGGAGCAGAGGAAACACTGAACTCCAAACCTGGCACTCCTGCACACCCAGCTCTGCCATCCTGCTCTCCAGAGCCCCCAAATTCCCGTGGTTTGGAGGAAATAATCCTTGTTCCAAAAGCCTGAGAGCCCCCAAAATGCAGCTCCAGCACCTGCTGGGTGATCCTGGGAGATGGGGATGGGCAGCCCCTGAACCCTGAGGGGAAGGAGCCCATTCCCTGGGAGGTTTAAATAATACCAAAAAAATGAAATTCAGAAATAATAAATATAAATATTGACAGGGAAGCCCACAGGATGCACTGCGGGGGTTTGGAGGAAATAATCCTTGTTCCAAAAGCCTGAGAGCCCCAAAATGCAGCTCCAGCACCTGCTGGGTGATCCTGGGAGATGGGGATGGGCAACCCCTGAACCCCCAGGGGAGGGAGCTCATTAAATGATACCAAAAAATGAAATTCAGGAATAATAAATATAAATATTGACAGGGAAGCCCACAGGATGCACTGCGGGGGTTTGGAGGAAATAATCCTTGTTCCAAAAGCCTGAGAGCCCCCAAAATGCCAGCAAAGCTCCAGCACCTGCTGGGTGATCCTGGGAGATGGGGATGGGCAGCCCCTGAACCCCCAGGGGAGGGAGCTCATTCCCTGGGAGGTTTAAATAATACCAAAAAATGAAATTCAGGAATAATAAATATAAATATTGACAGGGAAGCCCACAGGATGCACTGCGGGGGTTTGGAGGAAATAATCCTTGTTCCAAAAGCCTGAGAGCCCCCAAAAAGGCCAGCAAAGCTCCAGGACCTGCTGGGTGATCCTGGGAGATGGGAATGGGCAGCCCCTGAACCCCCAGGGGAGGGAGCTCATTCCCTGGGAGGTTTAAATAATACTAAAAAATCAAATTCAGGAATATTAATATAAATATTGACAGGGAAGCCCACAGGAGGCACTGCAGGGGGTGGGAGGACAGCTGGGAGCAGAGCGTGTGGCTGTTATTTAATGAGCTCTTCGTCCTAACGAGCCCAAAATCCAGAATTTCCTGCCTGGAGCCACTCGAGCAGAGCCAGGAGAGGCTCCAAGAGCACCCAGGTCCTGCCTGGGTCTGGGTTTATCCCGTGCCAAGCCCAGGGCTGGGTTATCAACACCCCAGCTGGGCTGCTGGTAACTCCTGGAGAGCAGATCAATCCATCAGGGACTGGATTATCCTGTGGTTTTATTGATCATCCTGTGTTACTATTGATTATCCCATGTTATTATCAATTATCCCGTGTTATTATTGATACTATCCTGTGTTATCATTGAGATTATCCTGTGCTATTATTGATTATCCTGGGTTATTATTGATTATCCTGGGTTACCATTGAGATTAGCCTGTGTTTTTATTGATTAGTCTGTGTTTTCATTGATACTAGCCTGTGTTATTATCGATTATCTCGTGTTATTATTGAGATTAGCCTGTGTTATTATCGATTACCCTGTGTTATCATCGATTATCCTGTGTTATTATTGATTATTGATTATCCTGTGTTATTATTGAGATTAGCCTGTGTTATTATCGATTACCCTGTGTTATCATCGATTATCCTGTGTTATTATTGATAGTAACCTGTGTTATTATTGATTATCCCATGTCATTATTGATCATCTTGTGTTATTATCAATTATCCTGTGTTATTTTTAATTATCCTGTGTTATTATTGAGATTAGCCTGTGTTATTATCGATACAGAACCTGTGCCCTCAGCTGGGGCTGGCACAGCACAAATGTCCCACCCAGAGCTGCTGAATGTCCCCAAACCACCCCAGACCTGCCCCTGGAGCAGAGATGGGCACAGCCAAGGAGCAGCAGCCCCCGGTGGCTCCGGCCCTGCCCCAGTCCCAGCCCCTTTGGGATGAACAACTGGGAGCTCATCCAATTCCTGTCATTAAATACAGGACAAAAGGGCCAATCTGGGCCCCCCAGCCCTGCCCTCACCCCCAGGCTCGTCCCCACACCAGCACAAGTTGCTGGTTTTACCCAAACCCAGCCTTGTTGCTCTGGAGAATTTTTTCTTTCTTTTCTGTAAGCACGCAGCTCGCTGAACAGCAGAGATTAGAGCTTCTCATGGCCAAAAAAAAGCAATTAAAAACTCCCCAAAGCCACAGGAACGCTCGGAGATCTCAGCTCCAACAGCTCCCACCCATTCCTTCAGGTGGCTTCGTTTTATCAGCAGTTAAATCCCCAAACAACGCTGGTTTAGCACCAAACCTAACAGGAAAATCCTCAAACAACGCTGGTTTAGCACCAAACCTAACAGGAAAATCCTCAAACAACGCTGGTTTAGCACCAAACCTAACAGGAAAATCCCCAAACAACGCTGGTTTAGCACCAAACCCACTCGGATCTCCGTGATCTGAGCTCGGGGTGTGGGGACTGAAATGCAGCAGAGAATTTACAGAATTCACAGAATTCCAGTCAGAGACGTGCAGCTCAAAATGAGTTCGGAGTCACCAGTGAGATAATAAATATTAGTGACTCTCTCCTGCAGTTACCAGCCTGTCAGGGCGATTTTTTCCTGTAAAAACACAAGCCCAGAGCTATCCATGTATATTCATTCCAACAGATTTCAAACGCCGTGCCAGGGGTTTCTACAACTGCTCCATTTGTCTTTAATCCCCGCTCAGAACAGAAATCTGAGCACAATCTGTCTCTGAGGCAGCTTTGAGACAACTTCATAAAGCAAAACCTCCCAGCTCCGGGCGTGGAGCTCAGCTTTAACTGCTCCAGCCAGAGCTGCCAGGCAGCACCGCCACCAAAGTGCCCCAAAATCGCTGCTCTGCCTCACAGCCATGCCCAAAACTCTGCCCCAGCCCAGAACTCCAAACCTCCAACCTGGCGAGTTTTAATTAAAGAGCTGGGATTTGTTGCTTGGCAGCACCAGAAGCATCCTCCAGCCCTGTGCTCTGAAATTCCAGCTCCTGACCACACTTCCCCCAGAGCAAGAGCTGCCAGGGGTTCCCAGGTGGGAGGCACAGAAGGCTCCGAGCATCCCCATCACCGATTTGGGCGCACGGTTCCCTCTGCAGGCACCAGTGCTTCTCGATCAAAGTATAATAAAAACCGGGAATTTCTCTTTTCCATTCTACTCTCGTCATTTATTTCCCTGCCCTCTAAGCTGCTGGGGTTCTGGGGGTTGGTTGGGGGTTTTTTCCTCCCCCAAAACACCACATTTTGTCTTTTACACAAAATCCTCCTCTGCTGGAGCCGTAATTCAGGGAGAGCTCCGGGCAGGGAGGCTCAGCACCTGTGGCCAGCTGGCACAAGCCCGTGGCTACCTGAGGATGCTCTCCCCTGCCGAGAGCAGAGCCCAGAAATCCCATCCGAAGGGAAATGGAAGCGCAGACACGCCGGGCGCGCAAAGGGAGAGCTCCGCTGCTGAGGAACCTGCGAGGAGCCGCAAAGTCTGATCGCTGCGCTGTGAGAAAGGAGGGAGCGCGTGTGCCCAACACCACAGAGCCGAGCACCGCAGCAGGAGCCTTCCTCCGACAGGGAGGACCGAGCCCCGGCCGCACCTCCCCGCACTGCCAGAAGCCCAGGCAAGGTGCGGGACCCGGCGGTGAGGGGGAGGTCCATCCCCCTGCTGACATCCTCCGGCTGGCTGCCCTGAAGAGGTGACTGCCCTCCGGCCATTTACCAGCGAAAAGTGAAATAAAATCACCAAAAAACCCGGGCTCGGAGCATCTCCAGTGCCTGCCTGGCACACGGCAAACAGATCCACCCGCGCACGGAAAACGGATCCAGCATCGGCCGGAGGCACCCGGGGGATGAGACCGCGCTGCCCGCGGGGTCCCGGAGCCTCCCGGAGCCCGTCCCGGGACAGCCCGAGCGGTGTCCGGGCAGGAGCAGAGCCAGAGCCAGCCCCGGCTCCGCGGGATGCCCGCGGCTGCGGCAGCGCACAGCGCGGAGCGCTCCGCAGCCTGCGGGGATGCGCTGCGCCCCGAGGACCCGAACGGCCGCGACCACCCCGGGACCACCCCGGGACCACCCCGGGATCATCCCGGGACCACCCCGGGACCCCCAGCGCGGCCCGGCGCCGTCGCCTCCGGTGCCCAGGGCGGTGCGGGTGTTTCTCCGGGAGATGGGATGTGGATGTTCTTCCCAGAGATGGGATGTGGATGTTTTTCCCGGTGCTGGGATGCGGGTGTTTCTCCCGGAAAAGGGATAGCAGATGTTTTTCCCAGCGCTGGGATGCGGGATTTCTCCCGGCGCTAGCGTAGCGAATGTTTCTCGCAGAGGTGGGATGCGGGATTTCTCCCGGAGCAGGGATAGCGGATGTTTTTCCCGGGGCTGGCATGCGGGATTTCTCCCGGAGCAGGGATAGCGGATGTTTCTCCCGGCGCTGGGACAGCGGATGTTTTTCCCGGCGAGTCCCCGCATCCCTCCCACTCCCCCATCCTCCGGCGCTCCCCCGGCCCCGCAGCAAGCGGTGCGAGACCCCCGCACCGCACAGTCGCCCTGGGGCGGGCAGGACGAGCCCCGCTTACCTCGCAGCGCGGCCGTCCAGCTGCACAGCCCCAGCAGCAGCAGCAGCAGCCGCCGGTGCAGGCGCGGGGCTCCTCCGCCCATGCTGAGCCCGCAGCGCCGGGGATGGAGCCCCGGGATGCGGAGCACCGGGATGTCGAGCCGTGGATGGAGCTGCGGGATGCGGAGCCCCGGGATGCGGAGCCGAGCTCCAGCCAGAGAATCGCCCGGGGTTTTGGGCGGTTTTGGGTTTTTTTTTCCCCGCTCCTCTCCCCGGCGCTCTCTCGCCGCTCGGCTCCCGGGTTTGCGGCTCTGCGGGGCCGCGGTGCGGGCTCCGCTCCCCGCTCCGGCCGCCGCCGACTCCGGGGCCGCGGCGCGCTCCCGCATCACTAATGAGCCGCCCCTCCCCCCGCAGCCAATTAGGGGCGCGCGGGGCGGGTCCTGCCGGCGGCGCGCGCGCAGGTTGGGGGTGGGGGTGGGGACATGCGACACCCCCCCACCCCTCCCCCCGCCCTTCCCCCCAAAAGTACGGCGGGGGAGGGGCACCCAGGTGAGCTGGGACACGCCCAGGTGCGAAGGGACACGCCCAGGTGTGCGGTGGGGACACGCCCAGATGTGTGGGATGCGTGTGAGGACACAGCCAGATGTGCGGGATGTGGGTAGGGACACAGCCAGATGTGCGGGATGCGTGTGAGGACACAGCCAGATGTGCGGGATGTGGGTAGGGACACGCCCAGGTGCGCGGTGGGGACACGCCCAGGGCCCCGCCCCACACCGTCCCCACCCCGGAGGTGCGGGACCCGCCAGCCCCGACCCGGGAGAGGCCCTGGAAGCAGCTCCAAGGCTCCCCCACATTCCCGAGGCCAGGCGGTGACACTCAGGTGGTGACACCCAAGGGTGGCCCCCTGCCCTCTGCACCCCTCTCCACCCTTTAAACTCACACATCTGGGCCCAAACCCCCAAAAACTCATCCCTGTGCCCAGGAGCGAGATGAAAAAGCCCCCCAAGCCCACCCCCCATTCTGGGCTGTTGTTATCAATATTGCAGGGGGCTGTGATCTAAAATTCTGTTTCTTGCCCGCAGCAGCAGCAGCAGTTTCCCTTCCCCAGCTAATTGCACATCGATATTTTTATCACACACCTGATCAGGACACACCACGAGGGTCCAAGCCCAGGAACTCCTGGCTCTGCCTGAGTGAAACCACGGCTGCTCTGCTCTGGGAGAAGTTGGGAAGCAGAGGCAGCACCTGGAGGAGGAATTGTGGCCGTGAAGAACAGCAGCTCTGCCAGGCTCTGCCCTTGGATCCAGGCAGGGCACAGGATTTGGGGAATTTGTGGTGTTTTCTTTCCAGTGGGCAGAGGGGGAGAGGAAAGGGGCAAAATCACCGGGAATCTGGTGTGTCAGAGCTGTGTGGGACATAGACCCTGCAGAAACCGGGCAGGAGAAGGCACAAAATGAGATTTGATGCTCAGGAGTGGAGATTCCCCCAGCACAGGGCAGGAGCAGCCAGGCCCTGTTTGCATCGTGGTGCCTGCAGGGAATTCTGGCTGTGGAAGGGGAGCACAGTGGAATCCCTGGCCAAGACGTTGCAATTTTTTGTCCATTCCCCTTTTCTTTTGGAAATCAACTCCATTTCCATCCCACTTTTGGAAATCAACTCCATTTCCATCACCCTTTTGGAAAATAACTCCATTTCCATCAGGGTCCAGCCCAGAGCAGAGTTCAGGGCTCATCCTCCTTTTGGAAATCAGCTCTGTTTCCATCAGGTGTTGAGCAGACCTCAGGGATAATCCTTTTTCTTTTGGAAACCAACTCCATTTCCATTCCCTCTTGGAAATAAACTTCATTTCCATTGGGGTCCAGAGCAGAGCTCAGAACTCTTTTGGAGTTCAACTCCATTTCTGTCAGATGTTGAGCACAGCTTAGGGCTCATACCCTTTCTTTAGGAAATAAACTCCATTTCCATCCCACTTTTGGAAATCAACTCCATTTCCACCCTCCTTTTGTAAATAAACTCCATTTCTATCAGGTGTTGCGCAGAGCTCAGGGTTCATACCCTTTGTTTTGGAAATAATAAATTCCATTTCCACCCCCTTTTGGAGATCAACTCCATTTCCATCAGGTGTTGAGCAGAGCTCAAGGCTCATCCCCTTTCTTTTGGAAATAAACTCCATTTTCACCCCAATTTTAGAAATAAACTCCATTTCTACCCCATTTTGGAAACAAACTCCATTTCCACCTCCTTTTGGAAATCAACTCCATCTCCATCAGGTGTTGAGCAGAGCTCAGGGCTAATTCCTTTTATTTTGGAAATCAACTCCATTTCCATCCTCTTTTGGAAATAAACCTTTTTTCCATCGGGGTCCAGAGCAGAGCTCAGGGTTCATCCCTCTTTTGGAAATCAACTCCATTTCCATCAGGTGTTGAGCAGAGCTCAGGGCTCATCCCCTTTCTTTTGGAAATAATAAACTCCATTTCCACCCTGTTTTGGAAATCAACTCCATTTCCACCCCCTTTTGGAAACAAACTCCATTTCCATCAGGTGTTGAGCAGAGCTCAGGGCTCATCCCCTTTCTTTTGGAAATAATAAACTCCATTTCCACACCCTTTTGGAGATCAACTCCATTTCCACCCTGTTTTGGAAATAAACTCCATTTCCATCAGGTGTTGAGCAGAGCTCAGGGCTCATACCCTTTGTTTTGGAAATAATAAACTCCATTTTCACCCCATTTTTGAAATAAACTCCATTTCCATCAGGTGTTGAGCAGAGTTCAGGGCTCATCCCCTTTCTTTTGGAAATCAGCTCCATTTCCACCCCCTTTTGGAAATCAACTCCATTTCCACCCCATTTTGGAGATCAGCTCCATTTCCAGGGCGCAGGGCAGAGCTCAGGGCTCATCCCCCTCCGTGCTGGAGCAGCTGCACTGAGCTCAGCCCATCCCAGCCTCCCCAGCCCCAAACCCCGCTCGTTCCTCAAGTTTTGGGGGGCTCAGCCAGCACCAAACGTGCTGCCTGGAAGAGGCAGTGAGGACGCAGCAGGGTCGGTTCCACCTCCTGAAGAGCAGGGCTCAGCACCTGCTCCTCCTGCAGGCTCCCTTTGTGCTGCCTTCAGGAGGAAACAAATAATTAAAGCAAAAGGAATTTGTAAACAGAATTTTAAGAGAGAGAGAAGGGGGAAAAAATCAATGTGTGAGCACATGACATCAGAAGATTTCTTATTTCCTCGCCAACGTGTGTTTGTCAGGCTCCAGCTCTCAATGAGGAGCAGCGCTGCAAAGGCATGGAGCAAATATATGAAAAATACATTTTCTTCAACAGCCTTTTAGGTCATTTCTCTGTGTTTGATGCTGCCGAGGAAATAAAAATAATAATAAAAATAATAATAAAAATAAAACAACCCCAAACCAAAACCCCACGGAGGGGCAGAGCTGGGCAGCTCCACGGGGAAGTTTTCACGTGGCAGAGCATCCTCCCGAGCCTGCCCACGTCAGTGCAGCCACTTCTGCCTCGAGCCCCACTAATTATGGATTTTTGCCTACGCCACGGAGTCTGTGTTTGGTGCTTCAGATAAAAATACCGAGTCCTCAGTTTATAACGCAGCTCTGATGGGGAAGGAGAGAGCAAAAGTAGAAATAAGGGCAGCAGCTGTGGCTTCAATCAGCGCACTTGGAAATGGAAATAAGCAGAATATTCCACAAAAATAAAATCTCGGGGTGAGCAGCTCCTTCTGAGCTGCCGCTCAAGCTGAAGTTCTCCGTCCTTTAGCGCTGCTAGAATCAACAACAATGCAGAATAAACAGAGAAATGAAGCTCTGTGCACAGCGGGGCCCTCAGTGACCCCAGGAATGGAGGCCTGCTCCACCTCCCACATCTGGAGCTGGAATTTCCTGGAAGCTCCGAGCCCAGGTTTGAGGCAGCTGCATCAAAACCCCACCAGAAAAATAAAATAAAAATAATAAAAAATAAAATAAAAACCAAAGGACGTTCCAGCTGGGCTTGCAGAGGCTCTCTGCTCAAAGCTCTGCAGCCAGGTGAGCTCAGTGTGGTGGTGGCTGTGTGATGGATGCCCTCGGAGCTGCCCACCTGTGCTGTGCCACAAATCAGCATTTCCATCCCCCGCGTGTCAGAGGGCTGGGGGTGCAGATGAAAGGCAGCTGCCTCCTTGTGCTGCCCTGGCACATGAAAACATCCCCGTGATGCCAGAGGATAAAAGAGAATAAAAGCACCTGAACCACTGATGTTCCTCACGGGGAGCGGCTGCAAGTGTTCACACCTGAGCGACAGGTAAATAATGCAGAGAGAGCAGAACACCCGGGAAGGACAAATCTCGGGAATTCCAGGAGCGCTGAAGGGTTCCGAACCATCCCGGCTGACAGATCATGTGCAGATAAAAGTGTCCTCAGGACACCGGGAACACCCCAGACTGCTCAAAGTCAGCTTTCTCCTCCTCTGCCCTGGCGTTTGGGACACTCTCCAGCTGCCCCTGCTGTCCCAAACTCACAGAGGTGGAGGAGTTTAGGATCCCCTGGTGTTCACAGAGCACATTCCCTCATCCCTGCCCTGCTCTGGCAGGCCTGGAATAAAACCAGATCGTTCTGAACATTCCCTTATCCCTGCCCTGCTCTGGCAGGCCTGGAATAAAACCAGATAGTTCTGAACATTCCCTTTTCCCTGTCCTGTCCAGGATCCTGCTCTGAAAGGCTGGGAATAAAAACAGGTATTGGAGATTTAGTTCTGAACATTCCCTCATCCCTGCCCCATCCAGGATCCCGCTTTGGCAGGCCTGGAATAAAATCAGATATTGGAGATTAGTTCTGAACATTCCCTCATCCCTGCCCCATCCAGGATCCCGCTTTGGCAGGCCTGGAATAAAAACAGGTATTGGAGATTAGTCCTGAACACATTCCCTCATCCCTGCCCATCCAGGATCCCGCTTTGGCAGGCCTGGAATAAAAACAGGTATTGGAGATTTGTCCTGAACACATTCCCTCATCCCTGCCCTGTGCAGGATCCCGCTCTGCCAGGCTGCAATAAAAACTCAGATTGGATATTTGGATATTTTGATATTTGGATATTCTGTACAACCCTTTCCCCATCCCTGCCCCTGGAATTCCCTCCTCAGCCCGGGGTCGCTGTGTGCCCCCAGCCCAGGGGGTTCTGTGCACCCACAGCTCCTCCTGGGACCTTCTGCCCCTCCCAGGTGACATTCCCACAGCTCACGCTGCAGGATTTCCAAATTCATAACGGAATTTCCAAAATCCACGGCACCAAAGAAAAGTTTGATCATTTTCTTCTCCTCTTGTGCAGCACCCCTCCCTCCCCTCCTCACGGCTGGGCTTTCCAGGAGGCATTCC